ACCCGTACCAGTCAGGACAGGTAGAAAAACTCGTCCAAATGTATATTTTTAGTCCGTGTTTCACAAATATAACTTAATTGAGTATTAGATACAAAATTGATTATTTCTAACGTATAAAAAACTAAAAATCGAGTTTTAGACGTATTTTTAATATCCTAGACCCCTTAAGATATGGAGGTGAGATATCAAACCGAAAGTCATTAAATCATCTCACTCAAGCTGAATCAAAAACGTAATACGGAAGCTAAGATCAACTAGATGCCATTTTAACCTTAGACAGATGTTAAAAGAAATCCTGGCATCCAGGGAACGTCTTTACGTGATATCCTATCACAAAGATACCCTTTTCCTCTGAAAGCCAAGCAGATGTTCATAAGTTTAATGCACCGAGTATACGCCGAGGTGTTATAATGCCTTGGAGCGACCACGCAAAACGGAAGTCTGCTCAGAAAAATAAAGATCGATTTTCTCTGCAGAAGGCTCTTAGTAGCTCGCGTTTATATAAGGTGTGTTGCCTACCTTTCCTTGCGAGTCGACATTGCTGTTGGAAGCTTATTCTGCTTATTTAGTGAACGCCAAGAGTTCCATCAACCATTAGCAAGGTAGATGCAGTGACATTGGTTAAGTTTGTTATACCTGAGTTTGCTTATTTGTATTTTCACGGGTGTGATTCCTAGTTCTAGTTTATTTATAGGCCTACTGAGTGAGCTAATATAGGATGCACTGAGACATAGGTATGCAAATACGCATATGCATCAGCAAAGGCACAAATATACGTCTGTACTTAAAAATCACGCACTCAGACATACCACAGACGCGCGACCGCACACGCACACGCACACACACACACACAGTCGAGCACAAAACAGGCAGTTATGTACAAGGTAATTTATGTTCACCTGCACAATCAATGCAACGATTGAATTATATATTGGCCTCAGTATAACGCATATACTGAGTAACGACTCATTGTTTTCTTCATTACAGATGACTACCTTGGCACAGTCAACGTTATCATAAATCGATTGGAGCTATGGAGGCAATCTAGATATATGTCTAACTTAAAACCACTGATAACAACACTGTATCAAAATGGGTGGACGATATTCATTGGTTTCGATCCTTAATACCTACGTTGGGTTCTATACTAAACCACCAACAGCAACAAAAAGTCGGGGGAAGCTAACGAATGGCAGTGGCCCTGTAAAAAATGGCAAAAATATAAACGGTGAAAAATCTCAAAGCAGCACGCCTGAGGTTACTCTGTTACTTCAACCCAGTGTGACAGCGAATGGCCAAGGGCAGTGTACAGATTTAGTACCAAAGGACACGTGCGACAATCCTGCTACAGAGTTAGTAAGAAACGGCGCGACAGATGATGGACATTTCATTCCCTTGGACATAAATTTACCGAGAAATGGACTGATGGGAGATATTGGTTGTCTTCGATTTGAAGCCGATTTTTCAGACACTGAGGCAGCAAATTTAAAAATCAAAGATTTATATCCTGAATCCCGACTTTTGATAAACCCACAAGAGTATGGTTTGCCTCAGAAGGTGAGACGTTTTAGGCACTATTACTATCTGAAGGGAGTAAGGAAAGTGGCCAACGGAAACCGGAAGTTACATCTCACTACGGTCGCCACTACAACAAGGCTCGTGCGAACATACCGAATGACGGAAGCAGAACTCATTATCCTGATCACAAAGATCACCAGAATTACACGTCGGTCGAGACGTGTTGAAATGACACTGAAAGCAAAAGCAGACGACAGGCCTGATGCCGTTGATGCTGCAGAACCCATCCAAAGTTTCAATAACGAAACATCCAGAATTCTTCATTCTAATAAGCTGATTGCATTTGAATACACACCCTTGAAGAACAGCATCACATGTTACTGAGGATATCACACTTCAACCAGTAATAACATGGGTTTATATTTCTGTAGATAAAATCGATTTATTATGAAGGTGTTCAGCACAAAATGAGTACAGTTGAAGTCTATTGTATACAAAATGATTGCACGCAATTATCCTAACGCCATCAATATCTACAGCACGTGTTGTAGAATTTTAGAAAAAGCACAGTACATAATCCAGTGATCCATTCTATATTGTTTAAAATGAAGGAATGTACAATTTAGGACATTTTCGTGTATGAAAACTGATAAATAAAAACGAAATGATAGATAAAGCAAATATATCAACACAAAGCCATGTACATAAATGCCATAACGTTTAATAAATAGTCTGTGCTCCTTAATTTCAAACTCAAAACTAAATTTAAGTGAAACAGTACTTGTAACATGCTATCTCATCGCTAGACAAGAACAGCATTAAACCATTTGATGTAGAAATTTGAGTTATTTAATTTTAGATTTCCACAGATCATGCACTAAAATCATGTACTTACAAACAGTTTGAATGATAATATGCCATACGTTTTGAAATAATAAAGTGGAATATATCAGACATTTTAACTACTTTCTTTGTTTTTGTACTTTCTTTAAACTAGCTGATGAGTATGCCTATGGACTCAATGTCAATCTTTAAAATTTATACCCAAATTACGTCGAATGTTTGTTCTTTCCCTCTTTTCTCTAGTTGAGTAATACTGCATGATTAATACTGCATGATTAAAACATCTTATTTCAACCAAAACCGCTCTGAATACGGATGAAAACTGATATGCACAAAGCCAATAATTGGTCCGTTTGTGCAACCACAGTGCGTCTTCCTGTCGCAACTATCGCAATCTTACAGTCCTGCATACTGGAACAAGAACAGGGTTACTTAAATCTAAGATCTAATAAACAGAGTATATTAGATCTTAGGCTAAAAGTACCATTAAACACAACAATGAGTTTTTTCCTAGGAGAGGGATAGAAGGTTCTACTCTTAATACGGCACTCTGTAAGGTAACATTTATCTTACTAAATTCAATAAGGTAAAACTAAGTTAAAGGGATAATAACTCTTCGTTTTGGCCAAAAATTGAGTTTTCCTGGAGTAAACAACAAATTTCCCGTACTAACCTATGGTTAGTACATCCATTTTTACATTCAAAGTTAGTCCCTGTTTTTTTTTTTCTAAAAAGATTGTTTTTTTTTTAATAATCTCTTAAGAGATTATAACACAGTATTGTCATCAAGGGAGGTCACATGGTCTAAAGACAAGCTCGGATATCAGAATAATAGCTGTAACTGCCGTTTTTCTTGTACAACAGAATATATTATATTTTTATGAGTTGTTCACAATGTTTTTATTGTGAAATATAGATCTCATACGAAGAGTTATTATCCATTTAACGACAACCTACGCAGACCATAAACTTTTGATAGTCACATGAATTCAGTTTTAAACTCTTTTTGGCATGTAGACAGTTGCATGCTGAAAGAAGGGCGCGATGAAGTCTTGGTCGACGCATAGTGAACGCAGATTTTCAGCATACTTTTGGAACTGATTCTGTTGAAGGATTCGCTTACTTGATGGATAATGCATTTAACACTTTTCGTCACCATCACATTTGTCCACATTATCATACAATGCTTCTTCAAACTCTCCAAAGGTCAAGACATCGTAATCTGCAACCAGTAATTCGTTCAATGAACTTGTTAAATCCTTAAAAGAAGGTCGTGCGTTCGGTGCCCCCTCCCAACAAGACAGCATGATACCATACCTGAAAATACGAACCCACGACTTATATTTCCAAATTGGCATACATATGTAACCGTTATCAGAGTGATTGCAGAAAAAATTATAAAGTGGTACGCAGTTATAGATACAAAGAATGCATTTTTCAAACAGAAGCGTTCGCCATATTTTTATTGCGTGTATTATTGATAAACGAACAAATGGCGCATAATGTTGATAAACAAACACCAAATGGTTTTGAATCCTACATTTTCATGAATTTTATTCTTCTTGGTTGATTAATGTTGAAATCCTTTCAAACTATTTTGCCACATATTCTTACATGTCCTGTGAACAATGTTGTGGTCTTGGCATCCGGTATCCGTTGGTTATCTTTCTCATCACTTGCTCAGCTGACATACCAGGGTAAGGAATACAGCCTAAATATAAGAAGTTCTAAGAATATTATTTGCAAAGGGGAACACAAAAGATACAAAAAATAAACGAAGTTGGAGGCAATGCGTCGCGTCATACGAGACTAGAAAAGTGAGAGAATCCGCGAGAATCCGCGGGAGGTGACGTTATCATTTTAGCGATAACGCTGAAACTCTAAACGGCAGGAATGCCGACTTAGTAAGCAACACAAAAGAGAGACGCAAAACATAAATTTGTATTAAAGTGCAATAGACTTCCTTAAAATAGAATTCCATAAAATGTTAAGAGACAACGGCCAGAAAAATATCCGTAGAAATATGTTGTAAGCTTGAAAATCACCGCACTTGTTAGCCTGTCATTATCTCTCTCCCACTTCCCTCCAAATACTTCATAACCTCTAGTATTCACTTCATATATAAGACCCTAACCATTGTCGCAATCTCCCACAAGAAATCACCATACACGAGACTTTGGACAATCTTGGATGATTCCCATTATACTGCACAAAAACATTAGTATTTATTCAACATATAGGGCCTTACCCAATGTGACAATCTCCCATAACAAAACACCATACGCCCAGACATCAGACTGGGAGGTAAATATTTGGTCATTTAGAGCTTCAGGAGACATCCATCGTACTGGAACACGACCCTAGAAAGAATTTAGAATGGTCAGAATAATTTAACAAGGTCTACATATTTTACCATTTTCATATCAAATTCACATGACATAAAAACAAGTTTCGATTCTGTAACCAAGTTATTAGAGGTCAAAAGCTCTTTTGCTACACGTTTTGAGCTTTTGATATCTATTCTCTACCAAAGTGGAACTTTAGTATGAAGTGGTTATTCACTTATTCACTTATCTTTTACCAAAGTATGTTTTTCTTCCAAAAGGAAAAGAGACGTTTGTGATGTTTTATCTGTTACCAGCAGTAGTATATAATACCTGTGACTTCATTTCATACTGGTGGCTTTCAATCACGTCCCTAGCAAAACCAAAGTCAGAAACCTTGCATCTTTTGTCGTCAGATAATAAAACATTTCTTGCAGCAAGATCTCTGTGCAGAATCTGAGAATAATTAATTAACAGATATAAATAAGGAAAGATGAATAAATTTCTAAAGTTAGCGGTAGCTAATCTACAGCCTTGAGGCAAGTTAATTGGCAGACGAATGAAAGGAGTTCTATATAATTACAGGTACTACAGGTTGGGATAAACAGTAAGTATCATGTTTACTATTTGTGATATATATGGAACTGAATCTACTGTGTTCCTAGCGGACTACCATTTCTGGCGAGGGTCTAATAAACGGGATAAGAAATCAAAAGCCCCTGTGTTGTTAGGACAGTGTGCAAACATTACGGTAAATACAAACCAAACACCAATTTCATCGGAATACTAAAGGTATATACTAAAATTTAAAGGCGTATACTAACGGACATTGAAGAAAGAAACGCCATCCCATTTGCCACGTCGACAGCGTACTTCATCAGATCTCGTGACGTTAAGGAAGCACTGGCGCCATATAAGTTGTTATACACTGCCTTATTTCGAGCTCGGTCATTTCGTAGGGAAGTTTGCAGATTTCCGTTTGGAAGGTATTCCAAGATAATCATTGGTACACCTTAATAATAAATCAAATCCTATTGTGTATAGTAATTATGCGGCATGTTTATAAACACACTACGAATATCAAACACAAATGTTTTTAAAAAATCACAATATTATTTACACTCCAGCACTTTTAACTTGTCCTTACATGAAGATTTAATATTAGAAGTTTTCACAATAACGGAAAGATTTATATGTCGCTTAAAAGTAAAGAGATAACTGTACAGCCTACCTCCATCACGCGTGCAAGACGCAAATAGAGTGACTACATTTGGATGAGGACGAAGTATCTGCATCACTTTTAGTTCATCTTTGAGATCTTTGACAAGGGCTGAATCATGAGGATCTAAAAGAATTCACACAAGTGAATCTTGTAAAACGTGTTATTCTTTAATTAGCACAGAATGCGATGCTTTATCTACCTCGGATCATTTTTCTAAATTTAGCAAGACAACACATTATTCGCATCTGAATTCGATAACTATACATTATTTATCAAATATATTAAGATGGTGTTTCTCTCTTATCTTTATAACTCCATGCAATTATTTTTATACTACAGTGTATATGCAATATATATGCGCTATTTCATCTTATAACAGTACATTCTATATAGCACTTATACTTTATGCTTACATGTATAATCATCCCCTAACTTATTCACAATATCAATCTCTCTACTTTTACTGTGACATTTCCCCATGATGCAGAGAACACAAGTATACACCACAACATCTTACGTTACCCGTAATTGCTTATAGAGAACATCCTAAATCGCCATCTTGTTTATATATACGATACTTTATTAAGATGTTAGAAAAAATAAAATAATGTACCTCTGACTGTCTTCACTGCAGCTGCTGTCCACTCTCCTTGGCCATTCTGATTATATATTTCTCCCATATAAACCTGTCCAAAGGATCCACTGCCTATCTCTGCATGGACCCTAACATGTGTCCTGGGAATCTCCGTGTTAAGCGTTGGAACTTCTAGGTACATCGGAACATCATCGGCCTTCCAAATATATATTGAGTAGTTTTAAATTAAAAAAACCAATTAATTCCTCGCTTTGAAAAAGCTTTCAGTTTGTCAGCTAATAATTTTTTATACGGCATGCCTTACCACTTCATTTTCTCCGTGTAACGATCTGGACAATGAAGTGCCATTATTCATCTGCAGAGGTATTTCGTATGACCCTACTCCGGCAGGTGGCGTCTGTAAGGACAAAGAAGCAAGTTTTGTCGGTATCTGCTGATTCACCCTATATTTAAAATAACTTGAATCTTTTCCAATAAACTATAACATGCGTATGTTTTTTTTAGATCCGTTATTGCAACTAAACACAAATCTCAACAAACTTCGTCCATTCTTCATTTATTTTAGTAACTAAAGAGTACTTATTTAATTAATTTTTTTTTAATATTTTAAAATCAATTCCTCGCCGTGAAAAAGGTTTCAGTTTATCAACTTATAAAATTGTTATAAAAGATGCCTTACCACTTCATTTTCTCCGTGTAACGATCTGGACAATGAAGTTCCATTATTCATCTGCAGAGGTATTTCGTATGACCCTACTCCGGCAGGTGGCGTCTGTAAGGACAAAGAGGCAAGTTTTGCACCCAGATTTGTCTATACACTCCATATTCAAAACACTTTAAAAGATTTCCAATAAACTAAAATGCGTATGTGTTTTGAAATTGAGATTGGTCAGTGTTACTATTTTTAAATACGAATATCAACTACCTGCATCAATTCTTCATTCATTTCAGGAGCATCATCTGAAATATCACGTCATCATCATTTAGTTTGTCATATGTACTTTAAATGTGAAATGTCAAATATTTTGTGCCATTACAATATACATGTATGTCGAAACTCTCTGAACAATGTTCAACAGTGAAATACGCGATTATAAGAAATAGCATTTATATTATTTTACGCATGGCCTTCTGAAGGGTAAGAATAAGACATTGTGTTAATGGACAATATCTAAATATTCATAAATATAGAGTTATTACGGTTTAACAAATTAATTTAATTTAAATAATAAAAAGTGAAATTGAATCAAATCAAAACAAAATAATATGTTTGGCTTGTTTTAATAGTTCAAATGCAATACATATGGCATTTTTATTTCAAATGAAAAGCCCGAGTAATTCAAACAATATACCTGCATAACGTTGACGTCTCTTTCTTCTGACGATTACAGCGATGACCACAGAAGAAAGAAGTGAAAGTGCAAGTGTTGTAGCAACAGCAGCCACCAATGTCCATACAGGTAAAAATGGATCAATGGATATACTGGTAGGCCCTATAGAGAGTTAAAACATATGAGCAGATGTAAATATTTACCTAGCAGTATCTATCCGTTAAACTGTCAGCATGTATTTTGTTGTCGGGAATACGGTACGTGGATGTATACTAGCACGTTACTGTTACAAAAAATAAAACAAAATGACCATCAAAACATACAGCAGAAGATGAAATAACGAAATCGGCATATTTCTGGTATTATCAGTCTACTGGCAATTAACGGTATCTTATTTAATATTTTGTTCATTGTGATTTTTCGTTAGCCATAACACTAAACTACAAATATCCGCTTGTTAAACATTCAACTTATGTTAAGTGAGGGCGTAAGCCCTCCGAATAGTTCAGTTGTCACTTCCATCGGTCCCATATCTGAACAACACTCTGTTATTTTCTGTAAGTTTTTTTTTTTTTTTTTTTTGAAAAAGAATTGTTTTGCGTTAGAAAAGTCAACTAAGCTTGGCTTTACTAACCTCCGGAACACTGAGCATTTTTCATAACCCAAGATGGCTACCAACTTTTGTACGTAAAATAGCATAAAAATCAATGCGATTCACTGCAAACTATATACAGTACGTGTATATTTTACGAGCTATGCTTCATATGCAATTGGCTGGGTTATGGTGACGACAGGATCACAAAACAAATTTTCATCAAAGATTATGACATGGCTGAAGAGGGAAACATAAATTGGTTTGTCATGTGTCTCATGGTCACTGCAGGGGTTATTGCGTTTTTAAAAATAAACTGAAAATAATGTCATAAAAATATATATGTGAATGACTGCCAGTAAAGCATGCATATATTTTAATATAAAAAATTTATTAAATTGATCCTTAATCTAAATTAAAATATGAATAAATGGAACTTTAAAAACCAGCGAATTAAAAAGAAATTTAAGTCAAATTTCCTGTCTTCCTACCTGCATTCTCATTCCACAAAGTGGCCAACACCTCCGCTGGCATATAGCCGTTTTCCACCACACATTTGTACTGGGCATGGACTGACCCCTTCTCCAGACTTATGTCCAAGTCCACTGCATGTTCATTGTCCATGATGAAGGTGTACGGACCCCCCGCGGGGAGAGGCATCCATTTGTCAGTTTCTGGCGTACTGCAGGAAGTAGCAGTGCACAGTCAGTGTGTACACACACACACACACACACACACGTTCAATATTAAGGGTGTTTAAATGACAGAGATTAGTAATTGTATTTCAAGATCACGTTACTAACGTTATTCTCTGATTTGAGGCTTACTTGTACATCCAGGTGAAGGTCAGCGGCGTCATCGGGTCACCTTTGGCCGAACAGTTGAACCTAACGTTGGTTGGCTTATTGTCTTCTTCATAGGAAACATTCTGTTCAGGTTCCACCAGCAACTGAGTCCTCACTAGAAAAATTTTGATTAAAAACAAATGAGAAGACATCAGCAAGACACCAACTGTAACAAGAAATTCAGCTACAATAAATATTATCAAATTGAATATGACATTTTGAATCTTATGATGGAGCAAACGGGAATAGGCCTTACAGGGATTCTAGTAAGCGAGATGTGTATGCATGCATGCGCGCATTCGCTAGAGCACGTAATCGAACTTTTGCAACATGACAAATTACCTGTTTGTAGCATCTCCTAGATTACTACTTGCCTGATTTTGGTCCAGTAGCAGTTAAGCAATACAGTTATATAAGGTAATAGTCTTTCTTAACTGGGATGTGAAACCATAGCCCCAGATAAGACATTTAAGAGTAAGAGAGGACATTTCAACTTACATAAAACGTTCAGGTAAACGCTGGCGTAGAGGTAGTCGTGCTTGTTGCTAACGTTACACTGGAACACCTGTAGATCAGCTTTGCTGACGTTCTTCAGAGTAAACTTGGTTGGCTCCTGCTCATCATACACTATCCTGGGCTGACTGAGATCTTTCAAATTAAACATGGAATAGGTCATTGCGAAATTATTACACTTGCTTATTGAGGCTGAAAAAGCCTTTTGTTTCCTAAGAGCCTCAGAGACCGAACGTGTATATACCGGTGAGGATTCACCTCAATTTCATGTGACCATATTCCTTTTACCAATATTGGGTTAACTTAGATATTGTATTTTCTTTTTGTATCTGTTAATCTCTGTTGCGAACGTTTTACTAACTCACCAATGGTGGTGGTGATTGGGGGGGGGGGGGGGGGTAATTGACACAAATTGAGTGGATTCCAAAGTCAAATAAAAGCTAGCTGTTTCTAAGCTTTAATTACCATATAAAAGTAATACCTCTGGAATTTTTACATCACTGTTACATTGACGGTCTCTTTTATAATCTTCTATAGGTATGATTATATTGTTTAAAAGGCGAAGCTTTCTTTTCGCTATCTCCTCTGATGCTGCGTAAATTATCGTAACATACAGGCGGTGTGTTTTGAACTGCCGATTACATTCTGCTACGTTTCGATTTTTTTTACATGGAAAACTGATTAAAAACGTCTTTTTAATCATCGGCATCGAATATCATACGTCTGCCATCAACGTGTAAACTCTTCTATGCAGAGAGATTTGAAATGCTTCACACGCCGTTGAGCTTCTATGCACGGCAGAAACCACTAAATCAGCCAATGAATCACCGACTGTTATAGACGAATGTACTTCAGTGAGAGAAAATAAGTGCTTTTTTCCTGGTATTTCTTGTGTTGCTAGGGTTAATTTTGGTATCAACTAGCAGGCTAGGGTGTAAACTACTGCCAGTTTTTTTTTCAGTGCCAGGCACAGGTGCCGTGCAGTCGTGAGACCTCTGGCGGAGGGGTCTACTGACTGTGAGTGGTGCAGTGGTTTGTTTACAAACAGAGAGGTGCACATGTTCAAGTGATGCCGGTAAGAAATAATGTCTGACGACAGTATATTTTTTGGCGATTGGGAGTTATGTCAGTGTGTCTGCTGTCCACGGGGATGGGGAATGTTTCACCCAGTAATTTTGTTCATGCAGTTTTGCAGGCATTTCTCATTATGGTCGTCAATGGGAAATTATTTGGTGGTTTCTGCCCTGCAGAAAGGGCATATGAAGCGTCCCCGCTGAAGCGTCTCTCGATGGAGACGTGTATGTGTTCAAGTGTAAGGTAGGCCTATTAACTCTTTCCCCTGTAATGTTGCAAAACCCCACAGGCTGATGTTTACCCCTGAAGTGACTAAAAAACCTCACCTAATTCCACACCATTGGAATAAAACTTGGGTTTGTCAGGAGCTGGAATCCCCTCTGTGCCACATTCAAAGGTGAAGTCATCCCCAGCTGTTACATTGGTGTCCTTAGGTCTCCCAGTTTTTGTCCAAAAGGGGGCAGCTAGGCAAGACAAGATGAAACCAACATGCCAGTGATACCGTTGCCTTTATATTGTGCAAGAGAGAAAGTGAGAGGAGGGGCTAGAAAACGGGAAACAAGGAAGAGAAAAGACATGGAAATTGAATTGCCTCACCTTCCACAGCAACCTGAATTTCGGCACTCTGAGAACCACCCGGATTGGACCCAGTGCAGCGATAAGTGCCCTCGTGGTCAAAGTTAACAACTTGGATGACCAGATTTTGGGTTTTGTCTACAATTCCATCTGGGTTCATTAGCCTGCCATTGGCATCCAATTTGTACCAGCGAATGGTGGGGACAGGTCTGAAGATAAACAGGCATTTCAACCTCCTGCTCCAGAACGTTTTTACCATCTGGTCCTGGTCTAAGAATCTAATGTAACCAGTGACCACAGTCATGTCATGTTTTTCAGCATTTATAGCCCAAAAACTAGCCTAATCTTTAAGACCAACATCTACATGTCTAATTCGATACAAAATAAACTGGTAGTACGGTAAAGACTCGATCTGTGTAATTAAGAAAACTGAATATTAAAACATAATATCTGAGAAGTGAAATTTGATTGATTTCAAATTAAGTATCTAAGAGATTGATAGATTTCCCCATTGAAAAGTTCAAGTCGTTGGCGCAAAACTATTAAAAGAAAAACCTCCCCTGTTTTATAACAGTTTAAGTACATGTTTCACACCATGCAATAACAAGTGATGTTAAACGGGAGCTTCCTTTGGGTGGGTAGATCTTGGTATTTCGTCTTTTCTTATATGTATAAACAAGTAGACCACTAAAAATAATACCAGTACGGGCACAGATATGAATTGCCTATCTTGGTTTTCTTCATCCTACATGTGACTATAAAACCATGGCCGAAGTGCCAAGCTATTGAATGCCCTTCATTATAGTAAAGTTAATTGACCCTTCCATGTTTTCTAAAATCGGGTCTTTCTACTGTAGGGCGCTGTTACTTACTTTCCAGCAAAAATACAGCTCAGAGTCCTGTTCTGTCCCTTCAAGAAGACAACAGACGGTCCTGAAGAGGGCTCGGGGGCAGTTTTGTACATCAGCTTTGGGGCATTGACGGTCAATGGATTAGCTGAAATGTAATTATGAAGACGGCGATGATAAATGATTTTAATTATTATTAAAATTAAAATATGGACCACTACATTAAGATCTCAGTGAAGTTCACAGAATGAACGAATTGGTTTAAAACAAATGTATCGGAAAAATTAACGGTTTTACTCATCCAGTAAAATGAAAAATAAATACAAAATTACAATATGAATAAAGTTCATAAATGATTATTATCAAACAAATTCCATAATTGTTTAATCCCCTAAGAATATTGAATAGATTTCCCACTGATATTATAATACAAGTATTAAAGTGGATCGGACATATATGATCCGCGGATCTATTAGTTCGTGGATCAACTCGGTTGTATTGAGAATGCAAACTCAAAGAATTATTAAGCTTCAAGAAATAACTCAGACTCACTAGAGTCAACAGATAGTTTAACTGGACTTCCAAAAACGGATAATTTCAGAAGTGAGTTATACGCAGAACATCTGTACTGCTGGTTTGGTTGAGAGTCATCCCTGGTAACAAATGCAAACCTCAAAGCTCCTGAATAAAATAAACAAAATAACTTTCAGAGTGAACATGAGTGCAAAATATTTTGGTTGGAAATTTTCAAATGTATACCCTGTCTCTTCATTCTTATACCATCAGTGGCACATTATAGGTATAATTATAAATTAGATTATATATATATATATATTTTTTATGTGGCAACATGAAAAAACTACAGCATGTTAACTGTAATACAACTTGCTAACTGACATATTGTGCCAAAAAACCTCAATACAAATAACTAACTAAAGATGGTCTCTCTCTCTCTCTCTCTCTCTCTTTCTCTCTTCTCTTCCTCTTTTTCTTTCTTGCTGCTACACAATCCCCTCAGCCCTAGTCTTACCACTCTGGTCTACCTGTCTCCTCTTATCATCAGCCATGATGGCCTGGGTTTCTTTCACAGACCCCGAGGCAGGCGTGTATAGTTCCCACTGAATGGTGGGATTAGGTGCTGCATAAGGGAACTGGGGTTTTCCTGAGCACACCAAGGTGACATTCTCGCCCTCTCGGACCACCTTGGTTTCTACTGTCTGGTTGTAAGGAAAAGCCCCAGCCCCTTTAAAACAGAGTAAATAATCTCACAAACTTTTTAAGAGTAACAAAGAGTTAAAGCGTTTTTAGATACGAATAATATACAATCATTTTCCCTATAAAATGTCCAGGTTAAAAATTACGATGACTGTTACACCTTAATAAACGAAAATTGTATTTTTTCTGAAATTCCAATACATAAAATTTAATCAGCAACTATATTATTTCGCTTAATATATCCATTTCATTCAAAAGATTACAATTTATTAAGCATTTACAGTTGGAATAGGTCTGGAAAACAGCATTTCATCTATCTGTACCACAAACCTTTCATATTTCATGAGTAACAAGAAAGAATCACCACTAACAGCTTGTTTACTTACTCGCTCTTTGGAAGAAAGCAACTGTGGACACAGCCACCATTCCGTCAGTATTTCTGGCTAGACACTGGTAATACCCCTCGTCACTGAAATCGGGGCCGTTGATACTGATGGTGCCGCCGCCGTTTGGTTTCCAATTCCAGCCTCTAGTACCCACTGACAATAACTCACCGAATTTCTTCCACTCATAACTTTTAAAAACATATTTATCAGTTCATGAAAATTACAGAATAGTATATACATATACATATTCAGATGGCAAAATGGCTTTAAGCATTATGTGCTCATCTTTTAAGAAAGATAGTTTAAAATAGGAATTATTTGAAAGAAATATTAATCAATTCTGATTCATAATTTTTCATAGTTTTTTTTTACCTACGCTTAAATATAAATTAAACTAAAAACGGGTTTTATAATTATAGTATTTATGATAAAATATGAATAATAAATCAATCAAAATAATAAATGAAAATGGCAACTTTTTAAAAATTCTACCATGTCAGCAAGCCATGCTTTATTGCCATATCATACTTCAATTTAGGTAACATTAAATGATAAAAGTTAATGATAATTTTAAAATACTTTTGCCAAAAGAAATTTTTTTGACATTGGATCGTAAGTGGAAAAGATATTTTAATAAGTTTTATGTAATTTTTTTAAAATAATTTTCAGGATGGTCAGTTCTTTAGAAGGTTTATGGGCGATAACAAATACAACTGAATATCTAAAGGTTTTCGGGTATTTTTTATTTTATATAACTTTTGTTTAAAAAACCAATATTTAGTAGCAGCGAAATTTATGAAAAAATATGAATAATAAATCAATCAAAATAATAAATCAAAATTGAACTTCTTGAAAATTCTACCATGTCAGCAAGCCATGCTGTATTGTCATATCATATTACAATTTAGCTGAAAGATAAAAGTGTATTAATAAGTAAATTAATCCGTTAATGATAATTTTTAAATTTATTTTTGCAAAGAGACGTTATGTTTTTATTGACTTTGGATTGTAAGTTGAAAAGATATCTCAATAATTTCTAATACATATATTATCTAAGTACAGCTGAATATCTAAAGGTTTTCGTGTATTTTATTGTAAATTATTTTTGGTTAAAAAAAAAAACAATATTTAGTAGCTGAAAAATGCATTTGTGTGCTATGGTGTATATTTACTATGGCTCTGGTATTCCTTTGGCACGACAAGGTAATTCTTGTGTAAAAGTGGCATCATCCACCTTAAAGTAATACTGTCTATTTGGCTGTACTATAAATCTTGGAGGTAGCTTCATGTCTGAAAGAGAGATTTCATTTTTCTCATCATATAAGTGAGAGAGACAAAAATATATGCTGGCAAGATATTAAAGTAGCTAGTTATATTTAATCAACCTATGGTTAAAGTTTTTCATGCAAACAAGCAAATCACTGATTATAGCCTCTCTGATAAGATAAAGTCTTTTTTCTGAAATAGAAAAAAAATCCAGCTGTTATCACCATTTACGACACAACCAACGTGATACATTTATACATATTAAATAATAACCACTTTCTTTGAGTACTTATAACACGGCTCAGGACCACTGTTATAGCCTTTATATGTCACATGTCTTTTAGTAACCTTAAATTTAACCAAAAAGAAGTTTCCATAAGATACGTCTACTTTATTTCTGTAATTTTTGTTCCTTTTTATTTAAGATTTACTTTCCCCCATCACCATTAATCCCTTTCTCAAATACGTTATTATCATATGAAACAATTTCAATAAGAGTTAAGTTGAAAATATTAGGTCACGCATTATTTTTCTTCATCACAAAAGGAAAAGTTCCCGGCAGTCTTAAACATTATGTCTGTATTCAACCAAGTGCCTTTTTCCATACGAATCAATGCATAATCACCAAAATTGCACTCTTATAGTTCAGAATGTCTCACCACTCAGTCACACACTTTCTAATGCAATAACTACCCACTGCTGTCACCACAGGACACAATCAGCATACCTAACAAAATCAACACAAATAACATGATGGCTCTTCAGTGCTGTCGCAACCAACACAATCAGTACACCTAACACAGTGGCTCCCCACTGCTGTCGTAAACAACACAATCAGCACACCTAACACAGTGGCTCCCCACTGCTGTCTTAAACAACACAATCAGCACACCTACCATAGTGGCTCCCAACTTCTGTCATAAACAACACAATCAGCACACTTACCATAGGCGCTCCCAACTTCTGTCATAAACAACCGGTCAGCACACCTACCATAATGGCTCCCAACTTCTGTCATAAGCAACACAATCAGCACACCTAACACAGTGGCTCCCTGCTGCTGCCATAAACTACACAATCAGCACACCTACCACAGTGGCTCCCCACTGCTGTCGTAAAAAACACAATCAGCACACCTACCACAGTGGCTCCCCACTGCCGTCGTAAACAACACAATCAGCACACCTAACACAGTGGCTCCCCACTGCTGTCTTAAACAACTCAATCAGCACACTTACCATATGCGCTCCCAACTTCTGTCATAAACAACACAATCAGCACACCTAACACAGTGGCTCCCCACTGCTGTCTTAAACAACACAATCAGCACACCTACCATAGTGGCTCCCAACTTCTGTCATAAACAACACAATCAGCACACTTACCATAGGCGCTCCCAACATCTGTCATAAACAACACAATCAGCACACCTACCACAGTGGCTCCCCATTGCTGTCTTAAACAACACAATCAGCACACCTAACACAGTGGCTCCCCATTGCTGTCGTAAACAACACAATCAGCACACCTACCATAGTGGCTCCCAACTTCTGTCATAAACAACACAATCAGCACACTTACCATAGGCGCTCCCAACTTCTGTCATAAACAACCGGTCAGCACACCTACCATAATGGCTCCCAACTTCTGTCATAAGCAACACAATCAGCACACCTAACACAGTGGCTCCCCACTGCTGTCGTAAACAACACAATCAGCACACCTAACACAGTGGTTCCCCACTCCTGGCGTAAACAACACAATCAGCACATCTAACACAGTGGCTCCCTGCTGCCGTCGTAAACAACACAATCAGCACACCTAACACAGTGGCTCCTCACTGCTGTCGTAAACAACACAATCAGCACACCTAACACAGTGGCTCCCCACTGCTGTCGTAAACAACACAATCAGCACACCTAACACAGTGGTTCCCCACTCCTGGCGTAAACAACACAATCAGCACATCTAACACAGTGGCTCCCTGCTGCCGTCGTAAACAACACAATCAGCACACCTAACACAGTTGCTGTCGTAAACAACACAATCAGCACACCTAACACAGTGGCTCCCCACTCCTGGCGTAAACAACACAATCAGCATTACCCACACAATGCAGTTCTGCGTGTTTACCTTGTGTCATCACTGTAGTGAAGAAAGCTGTTATCACCACAACTGCTGCCTTCGTCATGGTCATTCTTCTGTTCTAGTCTGAAAATTCAAAAATAATAGCAATAAAAAGAAAAAATGAAACATTACAAGTGAGAAATCACAAACACACACACACACACATACACTAAATCTTTTTTAATTATCATTTTGTCACTGAAAACGAAAAGGAAATATTACTGATTTTAGCATAACTCCTTCAATTATCATTGTCTTTTTGCAAATATAAATATTACAATTGACCACATGTTAAGCGCCTTATGCATATTGTTGACAACAAGTCAACTGTGAAACAAAAATCAAAGTTGATATACATGAATTAAATATTGGATCCACTACAGACAGTGAGACTTATTACTTAAACGATGAGTCTTATTTCAAATTAATGCAATGAAACTAATGACCTTATTAAGTATATTTTTAAAGCTGAACACAAAGTTTTACTCAATAATGTTGGGAATAAAATGTGTCAACGCATATTATATCAGAATAAAGACTTTACCTTAAAATTCTATGTTAGAATATTTCTTCTACTTTCACTAACCATCTGGTTTCAGTAGCACCCTGAAGATTAAAATAATTAAAATATAGCTTTACTTAATTTACAACAATTAAAAAAAAACTAGTCCACAACGCCTTGCTTTCGTTTATTACTGCCTATTAGTTTTGTTTTGATAATCTTACTGATAACTCGGTTTATTTGGAAATTGAACAAGGTGCTGCATGTAATACATGAAAAATAAACAAACCGATTTAACTAAGGAGTCAACATCCTTGGCGTTTTGTGCATTCAGAGGCCCAAAGCAGGATGTTGATTAGCATATTTGCCATGACAGCATTTATTTTTTCATATCAGGATGCTTGGCATTTTAAGAACTTAGGGACCATTCCCATAACCCTATCGTACTAGGAGGATCGCTCTAAGCGTATACGAAAGTCAATTACTTAATTACTCCCGAGGAGTTCCACTGGGTGTGATAGATATTTAAGCCGCTTAAATTCAATTGAATGCATTTAGCTAGAATTCCCTCGGAGTTTCCCAGTGGACCAATCCTTTTAGTGCAATAGGTTTCAAAACCCAGTTTCGAACCCTTGCAGCTTGAGGGATCAGTAACGACACTTCTTGCATTTATATTTATACCAGCAAAAAATAAACAGTTTTAAAGACCACTGTTTTTTGCGCGTAATTTTGCGTGTAATCACATGTGGAGCCTTTACTCCATTAAGCACAACACTTGCTCCCTTTATTATTTCTTTCTTTCTTTTTTCTTTCTTTCATCCTTCCTTTCTTTAGTGTCATTTAGTACTGTTTCTTCTTTTGTAGTACTTTATAAACATTTATGCTGCCTTTGTAGCTTTTATTTATTGTTTGTACAGTGCACTATGCACATTGCATTTCTTGTCACCTTATAGTTTACTTATACCGATTTTATTTAAATAGCGGAAGTTTTCAAATAGCCTAGATATCTGTAAACATGGCAGCCACAAAAAGAGGGATACGTCA